GCGCGGGTGTAGGGGGAGGTGAGTTACATACCATGACAATCGGTGATATCCTCGTGATCTGATGTATCGTTTCAAGCCGATCTTAGTGGGGAATCAAACAAATGATTGTGAATGAAGACGGGAGCAATGAGTACATCACGCTTGGGTCTAATTGAGAATGAATCAAGCTGACTGAGGGGTGGGAGGAGCAAAGGGCTTACTGCCTACAGTTACGTTCACGTTTGTGATCATTTTAGGAGTTTCTCATCGAGGATAAATTGAAACGTTTGCTCAAACCCCTGGCACATGAAGAAGAAACATTGATGCGCTTGGATGCGATTCTCACAGTGAGTGACGAATGTGTTGTATTGTTTATAACAACAAGTGTTATATCATTTCTATGTTTTCTAGTCTCGTGGATCCGATTTTATTTGTTGCACTTTTTAAGTATTTTAATTGCATGAATGAGGTGAGATTTTGTAAATAACTCAGAAAAGAAAACTCCTGTATCATTTTTTCATTATAGCACTATTTTGCGTCAGTGTTTCATGAAATAAATATTGATGCGTAACGAAATATACACTAAGAATAAATACGTAAATGAAACAATAATCAAATTTCAGTGGAATGATACGCTCGTTATTAGTTGGTGTTCGCAGAGAGTTGTTGTCGATAGGGGTTAAGGGATAAGAATTGTGGCACGGATGGTGACTAAATTTTATCAGGCCACCGGAACTATTTGGGAGTTAAAATTGCCTGCTTAATAACTCACGGTGACTTCTCGGCCTATTTCCGTGGCACTGGTCAGACCACGAAGAGGCATTCAGCGAACAGCCGAGACAATGGAAAATTGGTTAACCTCATCTAATGAATTGTGAAAACCAGAATAGTTAGTCGAGGAAAAGGAAGAGTGGAGCACAAAGAGAAACTACACTGAGATGTAGGATGGACAGATGTTTATTGTGATATATTTCAATTTTAACCCACGACGAGACATTATGGAACCTCAGATAGACCAAACCCACAATAGATCAGGCCCGCGCAGTGCTAAACCGGAACGACCAAACGAGAACCACGCGAATTAGCTCAACAATGAAAGTTCCCAAGCCCCGGCGAGAAGCAGCAGGGAAGAAGCAGCAGAAGGAAGGCAAAAATTTAGGTGATTTTGTGTATTCGGCTCAACCCAAAGCCAGTTCTGGTGTGTAACTCATGTGTTTATGTACATTTTCACAAAGACCCACCAGTGACCTTGAAATTCAGCCCAAAAGTTCAAATTTTTGCGGAAAAGGATCAATCAGGGATAAACGTGACCTACGATGTGAAATGAACCTTTTTCGGCTCGCAACTTTCGGAATTCAAAATTTATAAAAAATGGAAAAAACAGAGAGAAATAACGGAAAACAGTCTATTTGAAGGGGTGAATGAGTTTTTACTCATCAATTTCTTTGCGCAGAACATTAAAATCTTTACCCTGCAAAGTTATTCCATACATACAGACGAATTGACATCACCATTCTCAACGTTCATAAAGATTATTTTACCACGATTTGTTTGGCACAATCAGAACTCGAAAGAATATATATATATATATATATATATATATATATATATATAT